ATCATAATTTTTTATTTTGAAACATGGAACCGTAATTTTTTGGTTAAATGACATAATGAAATTAGTTAACTTAGAAAGAATAAATAGATGAAATTTTTTTCGAGCAGCTTTTAAATGCAAAAATTATCAAGATAAAATTGAAGGAGATTTTAGCCGAATGCAAACAACGGATCTCATGATCTTCAAAGAACCCAAGACACGTACTCCGCCTTTATTCAGCTTCTCCTGAATAATCAGGATTCTTCTAGGGGCTTTACCGGCCGATCAAGAAGATTTCCTCGAGGCTCGGTGTAACGCCGCGGAGAATACGCTTCGGGAATAGGAAACAATCGATGAAAAATCCTCGAAACCCGCCTTTGCAGATTATCGTTTCACTCGAGAGGAAATAGAGCGACTTTCGTCCTTGTACTTCCAATAATATGCAAATCCAATTTTATCATACATTTTGCGCGCTGTAACATTTCCGAAATATCACAAAATTCGAAACCTTAGCACAAGAACATACAAAGACCTTGAGCAAAGTGAAACTTTTTAAAGCTTCGCCCATTATCATTTATAATGAGACAGCTTGTAAACGCGAGCGACGTCGATTTAGAGAGGGTCGAATTTCTTTGAGCTCCCGTTAAAAACAAAGGAACTCGAAAGAGAAACGAATACCGATCGGGGTACACGAACGTGCAAACTTGGGTTCCTAACCGATCCCGAGGACGAGACAACCCGATAAGCATCGTTAACGTCGTTATTCGTTCCCGACGAGTTTCGAATAACTAATTAACTTTGCCGGACCACGCGATTCTCTTTGTCCTTTGTTCGTAACATCGAGTTCCCCTGAAAGGCTGTTTCGCCGTGTAAATTGTAGCAGCAATTAATATTCCAACCTACGCTCTACTCGTATCGATAAATACAGGCTCGAAACGCACTGCGCAACTAAGGGCGCTCCACTTTTTAATTTTCTATTTTAATTTCACTTTTTAATCAGGTAAAAATATGCAGAAATATTCGGTACTTTCACTGATACTATTTTTCTATATGGCCGCCATTTTCTGCTACTGCGTCAAACTTTTCGTGCAACAGATGAGTATGTATGTATGTATGTAGTTGCATGTATGTGTACATTATATGTGTGTACTTAAATACATGTATATATAAATGCACTGCATATATGTATATGTAAATCTAAATACATACATGCATATGTAAATATAAATGCACATCACATTAAAAAAATAACTTTAACAATTTTTTTATATAAAATAAATGTCCCAGTACTAAAGTCCCTGAGTTCGCAAACAATTGATTCATCGACGAGTTGTTTTAAATAAAATAAAAAGTTTTCTGGCATTGTTCGACCTACAATGCGATTCTGTGCTCCGCGGTTGTTTGCGATAGCAAGAAGTGACTCGTAACGCAATAATGAAACCGCGCTGTATATTGTGGACATACGCGCGCGTTGTCCAGCCATTTTTATGGTCCTTTCGCTTGGCGGTACGATTAAAAACACACGTGAAATTTATTGTCACCGCACACGGGACACATTCGTTCCAAACAGCATTGTTTCACAAGCTTTAATTGTTCGTTCAACAGGCGTTCGTTCGGGGAAACAAATACACCGCCGCGTTGAATCAACTCGACTGTAGGATTCGATAAAACTTGAGTTTATTACAACAAATCCGTTGTGCATGTGTAGATGTCGATGTAACGTAACAAATATTTAATGTGTAAGGGAGATGTAATGTGACAGATATGTATAAGTATAATATATGATAGAAAATAATATGACAAAATAGTATGACATTGTGCAAAAATATATGACACGATATTGCGTATAATAAACAAGCATGTAATAAATATAGACGTATACTGAACGTGTAATGTAACATGCGACAAATATAATAGATGTCAATTTTTCGGTATATCCCAATTTCTTCGAGCAAATTTATCTCGACAAATAATGTCAGTGATACGATATAATTTTCGAATAAACTAATTCGTTATATTAATACAATAAGAGTATCATCCGCCATTAACTTTTCTCTGTTTAATTATTCTATCGCGTCGCGATGACAGTTTCCGTTGACCCACATAGCAGTCAACGCGTTAATTAACGTTATTTTCAATGAAGTTAAAGCCATTGAAGGTTTTCTGAATAAATCGACCATTTCGCATCCGCAATAACCTAATAATTATCTCGTAATTGAATTTCTTGTTTGCGATGAAACGTTCGTTCGGTAACACTGCACGATCCGTTCAATGAAATGAATAATGCATTCGATTCTGACGCTAGCCGTCCGATTGTTTAACAACAATAATACTTGTTCTTCGAGGGATGCGAAAGAATAAACTCGCCGTTAAACAATGCTATTGTAATAAATACTCGACAATGGCCATTATACGAGTGAAAATTAGAATGATTTCATTCTCCGACCAGCTCTCTCGTGCACAATAGTACGCTGCTGGCCCTCTTTCAACGGCGAATATTTTAATTGAAAACTCGCACCGATGGAACCATCGCGCCGTTGCAATTTCCATTGCCTACTATAATTTACCTCGATGGAGTTTTAATCAGTGAAATCGAACAGAGACGCGAATTGCGGTGTCTCGGCAAAGGGAACGTTTCACTCGATTGTTTACACCGTAATTCGATTGGAGATTCATTGTTAAATATTTGTCACATAATTCGAGATCTTTACTACTAGAATAAAATTAAGCGAAAGTGGAAACACTGCTTGAGACTTCAATTTTAATTGCATAAGTTCAGTATTAATTATCGAGTTCTAAAATTGAAGTCTAATCGTCGAGATACTTATACTGATAGATACAGTAAACTCTCGTTATATCGCCGCGCATGAGACTACTTTCAACAATGTCACCATACAGTCTCCATACAGTCTCCATTCAGTAATGCGTTATCTTGCAACACCGTATATCATAATACGTTAACAGCGAGTATCTACCTCGAACTATATCACCATTCGTTATATCGCCAAGCGTTAAGAGTTCCGAAAACCCGATATTCCAGGTTTGCCGTTAAAATTGAACACGTCGTTAGTACGTTAACCCACGTGAAAATCTCCGTCGGCCAATTTACAGGTGGAAATAAGTAACACGTGACAGGTGACGAGATGAAACCGCACAGGACCCGTGCGTGTTTTAGCGTATTCGTGACGCGTTTGACGAGGGTGCATACGTTGAAACAAGCGGATTTAACGGGATATGTTCTCGTGACAGAAACAAGTCGTTCGACTATTCGGTTTTCATATTTCAATTACGCGTTTGTTTTGATTTATGATTCGGTACAAAGAAACTGCCGTGTTAGTTTCACTTGGAATGTATATTGTAGACAGTGCACATTATAATAACTATTATACATGTATGTATATATTGTAGTATGTATTACACGCTGCATACCACATATGCATACACATTACAGTGTTATTATAATATACACACATATTACAGTGTTGTTATAATATGCACTATGTACCACATACACTGTGCACTCTACATTATGTTCAATTAATTAAACACTACACACTGTACTATATACTATACCCTTGATAAGTATACCGTATACTTGATACGTTATCCACAATGCAACTTAGATACATTGTGTACACTGTAATCGCGATAGAAACTCGAGGAAGACGCAGAAATAAAAGGATGCACGAGGCAACTTGTCGCAGCGTAACGATCGAAAGTGGATACGTTCGCAGCGTGAAATAACAGGGACACAAGTGGTCGGTCCAAGCAGCTTCTCGGAGAGGCGGCGTTGTACGAAGACTTCGGAAACACGAGAGTGCGAACAGCTATTTCCAGCGCCTTGATGACCATACAAAAGAGGCCTGCTGAGAACACATAGGTAGCTCAACAGGTAGCACTGAAAGTACTTTTCTCCCTCTCGCCTTAGCCTCCTTTTACGCTTCGCGAGTTTCCTGCCTACGCATACACCGCTTTTCCCTCGGAACTGACACTTTCCGACTCGCTGTCAGTTTCCTCTGAAAACCGAGTCTCGAGGACGCTTTTCCCGGAAATTCAGAGAGAACGTCCGACGCAGAGTTTAGACAGTCTCGAAGAGAAACGGTATCGAATATGTCCAGTGGAGTAATTCGAACGATTTCAACCCCTTGGCACTCGAATACGAGGGGAATTTCGACTCGCTAAAAACGCGCTGATTTTGCAGTGGGAATTTTATCTTGAAGGTGATAAAACGTTACTCGACTCCCAACGGAATCGTGGATTTTTCACGTTGCAGCTCGATCAGCCTAATTAGACCATTAACGGCACTAGAATTAAATCGTAGGGCGTCCGTTTCCGGTCGATCGGGCAGCGTTCTCCATTCGGGGCCGAATTAAACGGGAGTCAGACCGAATCGAACGAAAAGTTCGTTCCCTGCTGATGGCGCAAGTCGAGCGAAACGTTCGATCCGGGACACGAGGCGGTAAAAAAAGAGGGAAAAAAAGAACTGGCAGCTTCTCTCTCCGCTTGACGTTTCACGGGTGCTCAGGCACGTCCGTTGAAACCCGTTGTTCGGCCATCGATAATGCGAATGAATATTCACTCGACCATTGGAACTCGCTTGATAACTGATAATCCGTGCGTTCCAAAGGATCTTCCTCTTATATTTTTTATATTTTTCTCGCTACGTTCACAATTTTCTGGTTTTACAGCTTTCAGATCAATTTCCTGATTTCTCAGTTTTTTACCGTTCCAAGTTTCGAATTTTACAATTTTTTAATTTTCTAACTTGTCACATTTCTAATTTGTCTCTTAATTTTTTATACTTTTTCTCGACTAACTTTGCCAACTGTTCCGTTATCTCACAGCCTACACCCCTAAAGACACGAAGCCATAAAACTGTCTTCGACCCCATCCGATACAAGAGTGTTCCGATAAATCAAACAACCCTTGTGATCTAAGAAATCCAGTTTACTTACAGACCGACAAAAGGCAGCAAATTCTACAGACAGATTAGATAAACGGATCGGTAAGCGTTTCCGAAGTTAGTGATTCCCAACGACCTTGTTGGTATCTTGGCGAGATCTCGGTGTCCTACACTCCTGCCTATCTCCCGAATTCCTGAAATCGGACCAATCTTCCTCCAGCAGTTTCTTCTTGAGCAACATCAGCAGCTCGGTGTCCTCCATCTTGCCTAGCTGGTCCATCACATGGAGGTATCCATCTCCGTGAATGGAGTTCTCCAGATTCTTGTCGCTGCCAGAGCCTTCGGCGGCGTTATCGACCATCCTGGATACCCCTTTTTGTTCGCCGTTGTCCACCTTCGAGTCACCGCCTTCTATCACGTAAGTGGCCGTAGTGTTCGCGCTTTTGAAGGACGTTTTGCTGCTGGCACACTTGACCCCCTCGTCCTGATCGTCTTCCGTTCCGCTAGACTCCGTCTCTTCTTCTACGTCCTCCTCCTCCTCCTCCTCCTCCTCCTCCTCGAATTTGTCGTTCGAAGTCGACGAACATCGCGAAGCTCTTCGACTATGTTTCCTGAAGGTGGTACCCCCTCCTGAAACAGTTTCGTTGGCATCCGGGCTCTCTTGATAAGACCGTTCCGAATTAGTCTTCTCCGAATGCATCGTTATCTCGTCCGTATGCTCGTCCAGGTCGACGGACGCGTCGCTATTGAAACCGTCTCGGTACTCGGTGATCATCCTCTGTGTGAACATCGTGGTTATTACGGTCTGTTCGCGGCTGACAAACAGGCTCGATCGTCTCGGTTGCTGCTGGTCGATTTGCTCGCGAGAAATTCTCTGTTTCGAACAGTCGTCCTCCAGTGGAACGCTTCGAAGGGCGCGCGCCATCTGATCGATAAGGTTTCGGATATAGGACAGCATGGGAGTGTCACCCTCTTCCTCGGTGATCTTCGCCGCGACCTGCAACTCTTCCAGTGCATCCACGAACGTCCCTTGCTTCGCCAGACTGATACCTTCAATATAACGACACTGATATAATTCTTTAATAATTCTCGTACCGTGGATGGAAGTCATTAGAAGGAAATGAATGATGCGGATGCAGTGGAGATGAGATAAGGTTCAGTACGAGATGGTGAAGTGACACTGTGACATATGATCAGAATTGTATACTACAAATACCAAAGGTATAACAAAGATGGAATGTGTGGAATAAAAAAGATTGATCAGTAAATGTACCCATACATACTACTCTAAAAATTTTAGTAGTTTCAGTAGAATTTTAATAATAATCACTGTTTGGATACAGTATACCTTTTCACGCCTCACCTAAAAGTAGCTTCCCATAAAGCAGCCACTTCTTCGACTTCCCCTTCGCAGCAGCCTCCACGCACTTGACGGCCATGTCCATCGCCTGTTTGTACTTTCCAGTCTCCAAGTAACATCGTCCGATCTCGTGCCTGATCCAAGCGACGGGAATCGGTTCCTTCAAATCCTTGGACAAGTACTCCCAGGACTTGGCGGCCGCGTCCAGGTGCCCGAAACTCAGGTGCACCTTTCCCAAGGTAACGAAAGATCGATAGACCTGAACCTCGTCGTCGGTGCTTTTGGCTAAACGCACCAGGCGGGACACGTTGCACACTGCTCGATCGTGTCTGCCCAGTGCTACGTGAATCAAGGACAAATAGTGATAGGCGGCTATTTGATAACGACTGGGATTCTCGAAGCCGGCCGACAACGCGAGTAAATCCTGAGCTATCTTCAGGGCTGAGGTTATCTTCCCGGAATTGAAAGCTGTCTGCAAGTTGGACAATGATCGATCGGCTATCTGCCGTTTGTTCGCTATCTTTTTGCTTCGCGATAACTGAATTGTCGAGCTTCGGGGGGATGGCAGGGTCTTCCAGAAACTCTTGTGGGAATCGAAATATCTAATCACGAAATTGGGGAGGATTAGGGTTGCAATCGTTTTATGGTGTGGATAGATGAGCTCAAGAGCTGTAGGTTGGAGAGAGATACTTTTCAGAGGTTGACAATAAGTTTGTGGCTCGACATCGCTTTCCCTTGAATCTTATAAATAATTCAGATAAATACGTTTCATTGAGGACTTTCTTGATCTACTTTGTACATTAAAGTGTTAATAGGTTAAAGAGTACAAAGGGTTTAGACAGCATAGATTGCAATGCTACGTAGAAATTGCAGTACATTGACAAAGACGTGCGCAATATCCATAATAAGTAACCATAAATCGTCATATAACCAAATGTTCGGCCCTAAGAGTCTTATTAACCACACACGACATCGGCAGAAAGACACAAGACCTAATTATGAAACGATCGAAATGACAAACGACGAGTGCGTCGATGACGTACCTGAGTATCTGAGCGACCGAGGAGGGATTTGGCGACTTCTTGAGCCTGTCATTGGCTAACACGGCGGCCGTTTCCGGGCACAGACTCATCGTTAATCGTTCTCCGTTGTTCGTGGCCCGAAAAGCCTTTCGCAGAGCTTTCGACGGATTATTGCAGGAGCTTATCGTTGCGGAGGTTCGCCTGGCTGCCACACTGTGACTGCTGTCCCGAGGAAACAAGTTCGCGGCGCGATGGTACAGCACCAATGCAGACTCGTAATCACCTCTGCAAATTGCGATTCGACACTCCGCTTAGCGGCAATTAATTATGAACGCGTTAAAGCAATTGAAATTGCTTCGGCGTTTAGCCCGGATACAAGTTCGGCCATAATCAAGTACTCGGGAGTCAAAGCTTCGAAGGAACAAGTACCCGTGAATAATGGCTTTGTAACTTTTATGAGAATATTTAGTTTTTATTGAATAGTAGTTATTAACATTAATTCGAAGTTATTAACTGTATAAATTTCTATCTTGTATATTTGATTATTTATGTTCGAACTGTGAGGTGTATGGTGAAGTTTCACGCTGTAAAAATAAATCGTTTTATCGGTAAAATGTTTAAATTTGTGTTTATCAATATTTAAGCCGATAACATAGCAACTATTTGGAAATAATCCGTTTGCAAAGTTAACAGTGTGTAATCGGAAAACAAAGATCGAGGAAAATTTAATGGTCGCGTTAGTTATCGTGGATTAAAATTGAACAAACACCGATACGTAAAGTGGGTTATCCGAATTCATCAACACAATTTTGTAGTAGTTCCTGTGACGGCAGAACATTCGACGTGAATTATGAGCGTCTCGCAATTACCTATGTAAAAGTGATTAAACGACGGTGTATAGTGGGTCGGATAATCGTAGCAGCCGTTTCAAAGGAATAAATTAATTTCGTTGATTAAATCATTAAAACCGCGCTCGGACGATGTGCTCGAAGCCGGCTTGTTAAAGCGAAATTGAATCGAAATAAATGTAATTAATTAAAAAATTTCCGTTTTTATGGCTGTGGTCTGGGTAATGAACATCCTTTGAATTGGTTGTATGTGGTGTACTTCTGTGGTTGTACAGTAAGGAGATAATACTTATATTAGCGTGGCTATAACGGTAGCCTATAACATTTGCCCCGCAATATAACAGATACACGCGTCCCTTTTACCGTAGCAGTATTAAAGAAAAATCCATTTTCCAATAAACCGGTCGAAAAATCGTCGACACAAGCAAAAACGAAGCCAAGCGAAAAGGATAATATTCCAATTTCCGTTTCGTTTCAAGAGTCAGCACGGTTAATCGAAATCGCAAAATATATTGGATATTCGACGAGGTAGAAAATGTTTATGCAAATTCAAAGAAACGTACTTTCGATACAATTCATCAGCTTCGGTATGAAGGGCTTCGGCGTATTCCCGGTTGTTTTTACGACCAATTCTCGAGTCGGTTTTCCTCTGCTCGAGGCGAGCACGATGTTCCGCATTTTCCACCGCTTTTCTCGTCTCGTTCAGACCAACCAGCTCGCTGGTAAAATTCGCGTTCGCAAGAACAGCCATCCGTACTCGCTGCGTTCCAGTCGCCCTGAATTTGTCGCGAATATTAAACGCGATTCGCAAACGGCGACACTGAAAGATCGCGTACTAATTAAAAACGTCACTTTTCAAAACGAGGGACACTCGAGGTCCAATAAGAATTCAAGCTATCGATTCTATCGAAAGCGAAACCGTTTGGAAATTTGCGAGAGGTTATTACAGTGCTTGAATTTTTCTATACATAAATACAATATGTATAAAGATATAAAATTTCGTAACTAATAATAAAATTAAAAGAGACAAAAATTTGAAGTATTGCTTTAATAACAAATAATTGTATTTACAATCTCGACACAGCCAGCGTTTAAAAATTTATATACACGAGTTCTGTACAATTTTTACAAGGATAGACATCGTTCCAAATTTAAATCCACTGCAACGTTTCATCAATGTCAGATCGCAGCGAAGACGTTTCGTATCATTCCATTAGTCGAATCATTTCCGTGAAATCAACTGCAACAACGATCACACATCACGATTATCCGTCGAAGAACGAGGGAACACCATTTTCCTCCCACCGAAACTTAACGCAAGTTCTGCGAACTTGAAAGCTACTCGTTCGAAGTTCCGAAACTTTAAATGAAGGATATATGAGATCCACTGTTCGAAGGAGCTCGTATGATCCAGTTTAACAAGGATTGATCGCTCGTTCGAGTCAACGAGACTCTTTCCGAAACTTTCCTCGAACATTCTTCGTCATTCGTATTCACCGAACTTTCTCTTTCGTTAAGTGGGTTTTATATGTACAAGGACAATGTCACGGATATCAGTGATTTATATTATATTGATATTGATTGATAGAGATTTGAGGATATTGGTTTAAAAGTTTCCAAGTATAAGAACTCGACGATTAGAATCTGGCCACTTGAAAAATTAGGTAGTTGAAAAATTGTGAAGAGCTATTGAACTTAAGAATTCTGCAACCTGAACAAGTTGGAGAAGTTTCGAAAGTGGCAATACTCGAAGCACCCTATAAAATTTCCAGAGGTCCGCAATCTTACCGAGCGTACCTCGACCAGCTTCCAGCCCGACAAAAGCTCAATTTCCCGGTCATTCGTATTCATCAAAATCGACGAATCCCGGTCTCTCCTCGGTTCGTGCGAACTCTTGGAGGAAAACCCTCCTGGTCTCCTTCGCGAGATCCTTCGTAGGAGTGGATTGGATGGTCATCCTCTTCGACGGTAGTTTGAAGTTTCTATCAACGGGCTTACAGCCTGGCATCACGGATAATCTACGTTTCGCAGGCACAGCCTCCATCCTTCTCCAGAGATAATCCACTTCGGACTTCATGTCTTCGGGCATCAGATCGAGGATCAACTGTTGCCTGGCGCTGATGGCATCCGAATCGATCGGCTTATCGGTGTCCATCTCGTCGATCACGTTGATCGCGTTCGTGTAAAAATCCACCAGAAAATCGAAACCCAATTTCTTCGAGCTGGACAGCGCTTTCAGGGCAACCTCTTTCGCCTCGGTGCGGTAATTCTGGCTGATCTCGATGCGAAGTAACAAGTGATGCGTGTTCAACACCCACTGCTCGCTGTCCGCTTCTTGGCCGTTCTTGCGGGACTTTTTCGTGTAAAACCTGGCGAGGTCGTAGCGACGGATTTCGATCAGGTACTTGGACAACTCGTGGAACAGCCAAGCCAGCTCCAAAGGTTCCGAGGCCATCGCTAATCGCCTACGGGGTCATCGAGGTAATCGAACGATCGATAGCCGTTTTGGATTCAACCTGCGATACCTGCGAAAAACTCGGAGAGCCTGTTTGCGGTTGAGGGCCTTCACCCAGGCGATGTCGCAGTCCCTCGGCAGTTCGGCCACGCGTATTCCCAGCTGGTGCTTCAGGTATATCTTTCTGAGCTGGTTGTTCGGTAAGCTGGATAAATCTCGAACGTCTATGTACACCCAGGCGACCATGTTGTAGATCGCGTTCAAACACTTCTGCTTCAACGGGAACATTTTCAGACTGTACGAGTCGAACTTGTCTTTCACGCGATCTACCATTCTAATAACATTCGAATACGGTATTAGCGAGATATTTTAAATGTCTACATTTTTTCACTTCCGCATTTTCAGAACTCTTTAGGGTACGCGGATTATCCTACATCAACAAATATCGTCAAAGTCACTAACCTAAAAAATGTAGTATATTCTTTGCGCATCCTCGTGTCGTGTAAACGCCTCAACAGAAAGTCCGCTTCGATGACGATCAGATTCCTGCGCAACCTCTTTTCCTCCTGCATCATCATCCTATAGCCCTTCGGTATGTTTCTTCGCTTGAAAAGCATTACATAAAGGGGTCGACGCATACGCAGGATGTTTTGTCTACGCAACGCTTTCGTGTAATTTATCGTCGCCACCGAACGCAACTTGTCGACCAAACGTTGATTAGGTGGTTGCAATATGTCAGGATTCTCGGCCATTTCCTGCAGAAACTCCTTGTCGTGGGCCAAGTAACTCAGGTAGATCTTCCCGATCACTCTCTGCATCTTTCTGAACTCTGCCTCTGCCTGAGCTTCTGGATCGTTTACTTTGAACTTGGAATTCTCCTCCTCGAAGCCTGGAATATTTTTATTTATTTAGTTATAGTCCCATGGGTTATTAGCATGAAATATTCTGTCGTTTAATGTCATTAAAAACGTCTCATCGATAAACTTCCTACGAAATTTTTCACTCAGCGTGACTCAGCACGCAAAACTTGTTACGCATTAGTCTTATACCGGCAAGCTCGTCCACTTCCTCCTTAAGCTTCTCGATCATTAGCTTCCGGTGTTCCTCGAGTTCCTTTATCCAATGGGAAATAAGCCGGAGCGCTTTGGGCGAGGTGTTTCTACCCACGCAGTTCTCGATGGTCTCGTTTCCTTGACATATTCCATGCTCGAAGAAGGTGGTCGGATACTTCTGGAAGCCCTGATGGGCGTGCACTAAGCTGTACTCGAATTCACCGATGTAGAATAACGTCTGGACCACCATATGCCGCACGTGGGAGTACGCTGGATCTGAAAATGGACAGTTATTTATTTCGATAAATATGGATTCTTAGATTTGTCAGAATTAGAGATTCTGTATTTCTCAAACTCTCAGATTATGAAATTGTAAGATTGTCAGATCAATCAGATTCTCAAGCCTCGAGAGGTCTGTGCGATTTTTTACTTGAATTATTTTATAAATAAAGTATTATATATACTATGTACTTCAGGTTGAAAAGTTTTACCAGGGTCATCCGTGTGTCAAAGTGACTAATACCCCAAGTTTCGCACTCGTAAAAAAAGTAAAGTCCCATAAAAAGGAAATTCTTAATTTCCGAAAGTTTATAAAGTTTTCAGAAAAGTAGCGCCATTAACTTCCGAAGTTGTCATAACTCCGAAACGGGGTCGAACGTTTTTACGGGCCAATTTTCGTATATTAGTCGAATTCTGTACGCGTTAACGAAGCAATCAGCTAACCTATTTCCCTGCACTTTTCAGCAGCTTCCATCGCCATCACGTATCTGGCGAACTTGAGCAACGCCTTGCAATAACCGAGATACGTTCTGAGATCATTTTCTTGGCCCTGCTCGATCGCCTTCTCGAAGTAAGCCTCGCTGGTGTACGGTCTTTCGAGAGTAGTCAACCAGTATCCAGTTTCCCGGTAAACTATACCGGCCCTGAAGAACTCGAGCTCATCGTCCTTCCTGGCCATTTTCCTTGGCTGAACAGTGAACGAAAATTTGTGAGGAAGATGAAAATTAAGAAGAGTAATACTAACCTGTCTCCCTGAGAAATATACGATCGGAGAGGTCGGAAAAATCAGCCCGGAGAGTTCAATAGGTCACTCATCAATTTTGCACCCTTGTCTGGAGACTGAATTTCGTTTCTTCTTCACATTTTTATGAATTTCACATCGATTTTTGGCCGCACGGTTTTATCCGTGAAATTCGAACGACGAGAATATTGCTCTTCTTTTCTCTCGAAAATTGCGACTCGCGATACACGGTTGCATTATTTTTTTAGAAACTTATTTTGTCCCGCATATACGGACATTTTTCGAGATATGAATTTTTATTTTTGTACGAATACATTTCTCCTGAAAGATCCATGTAAAGTTATTTAATAATAGAAGAGTTCTCATGAAATATTTCGTGCGAACGTATTCAGTTACGTGGGTTTAGTAGAAGTTATAAAACAGTTTTATGGAGTTATAAAAGCTGTAAGGCGATTAAAGACATCGCAGGAATGCTTACACTCGGAGTATCAGGTTTCGATATATGAGCTAATGTAAAACTTTACTGTTTGCAAAAGTTCCATTCAGAGATTACCATAATACTCGAAAAAATGTTTCTTCGATTTACCTCGCTGAGACGTGAAAACTTTGAAAAAGAGCTTCCCGAAGCGGATTATGAAGAGATAAGGGAATGGTTTTGCTTAAGCGTGAAAAACGGCGATATTTTTGCGCCATTTCACTTTTTTGACCGCGGCCATTTTAGATACGGCAAGAATCGGGTTAAATCTTCCGGGATTTGCAAATTCGGACGAAGAAATTTATCGTCCTTTTTGGAAATCGAACTTGATTAACTTCAATAAAATCTCGTGGATTCGATGTCCAGGTGTTAACGACGATGAATATTCATAATTGTAAAGTTTAATCGGAAATAAGTTAATAAAAAGTTTCCGAGGGAAGAAAATAAAAAAAGGGTTGGAAAAATACAGCAGCCGCAAAACCAGTTCGGCCGTTTCGATATAATCCCTCGCTGTGCGTGACAATTAATGCCACAAGGAGCTTTACGTGGACGTCGCAGTATTTTAGAACCGAAAGAGGATTATATCTACTTCAAAGGAGCTTGCACTCGCAACTGCGAGGCCTTCGCTGCAACTTTCCGATTTTCGCCCTTTGAACGTCGGTAAAGATGGCCGATTTCGACGTCACTTTATTACTCTGACAACTGACAATAAAATAAAAACAATTCACGAAAGAACGTAGATTTCAGACTTAATATTCAAAGCCTTGAAGCGAGAATACTTTGAAATTTTAGTGCTCTTCATATTTAATAAATTAGGGAGAGACAAAGTAGATTTAAAGGAAGCGTGTTTTGTTACAGAGTATCGATTAAGGCTCGAAGAAGGTGAAAACGTCGAGCAATCGTGGACCATCGGTTTAGCTGTGCCCTCGAGATGCGGTGATGGCTTTGCTGTACAGATTCGCGCAGCTGCCTGACAGCAGTGGCACGCGGGTCTTCTCGTTCGTCGTCACCAGGAGTGTGGTACGTGATCCCGAAAGAGACGTCACCAGCAAAGAGCTCGTTTGCGGCTTCCAGAGATGGTCCGTCGCATTTTCACGCGGAAACAAGGTGAGGTGCATAATTTATCGCGATCAGTTGCTCTTGTATCTGGATACCGAGAGCTGTATCTGGGTATCCTCACATTTGTACATCACCAAGTGGAAACCCCAGATCTCAAGTTACTGCATTCGTAGTCCCTACATATCCGAATTTCTGGATTGCAGAATTCTTAGACTTCTAATTCAAAATTCTCTAATTCCACACTCCCCAATTCCCACATTCACCAATTTCCATATTTCTAATTCCACATTCCCTATTGGATTTATTCACAAACGTTGAAGGTTCGACTCAAGAGGATGCACATGTTTATTTTAACTATAGGACCCATAGGGTTTATAGACTCGTGACGGACTTTTCCTTCGACGACTTTTCTCCTTGAACAGTAAAGACGTGCCTTTCTGAGTTTCACAATTTAAATTAAAGTTTCTTTTAAAACCTAATTCAGTATTATTATTTTATTTCACCGCCTATTTCCTATATTTCTCACGTTAGCCCAGCAAATATTGTCATGTCCCTCAAATTCCCTCTCTATAAGCTCGCAATCACTCGACCCACATTACTACATATACCGCCACCCATTCATTTGCTCCTCCGATGTAACTTCATTAAAGGTCTCTTAACAATAACGAGTGGAATATTAACCAATTTCTGGCCGACTCGTTGAGCATTCACATTTGTAACGAAGCAACGACAATTTTATCCACGTTCTATATCAGGGATCGAGCAAATATTTGCCCGTCGATTTACTCCGTCCGTTCGATTGAACCGCGAAGCAGATGTGTTCGTTTAAGTTGAAAAATCAATCGACACGACGGCGACGACGCTTAAATTCAATTAACACCGGGACCGTTTTGTGTAAACGCGGCCGCGGCCGCGACCGGGTATCAAAATATGCCGCGATTAACGCCGTAATTAGATAACGATGATATCGGGAAATTGGAAGCTCCGCGGAAAATGAGATCTCGAATAGCTGGAGAAATACGATAAAAGTGATATAACTCGGGAATATAAAGATCTATGAATCCAGAAACTTTGAAATGTAGATCTAACAGCCTCGTGTTTCGATTTTATAGTACAGATTCTGTGATGTCCGTTCTCCCTGTCAGGCGATTAAACAAGAGTAAATCCCGAATCGACCTACTTGCAAAATATTAGCTGATCGATCGTTGAACTCGATCGACCTGTACTCTCGGTTAATCTCGGACAGTGCCCCATTTCGAATGCTCATAAAAATCTCTCTTAACACCGGGCTTACGAAATATATCGGAACGACGCAGAAAATTATGCTTATATACTTGTTCAAAATTATGATTACGATTATGAAACATTCATAAATCTAGTGTGAAAAGTACCCCGTAAGAAATTGGTAAAATTTATAGAATGAAATAATTAAATCCCTAATAACATAACTCCTAAAGAAGAAACGATCCACCATCAAAATGTGCCGTGATTTGTCATTGAAAGGTACTGGGCGCGTATCTAGTATGGCGAGGAGCTTCACGGAACCTGCGGGTGTACGTGGACTTCACGTTCACCCTGTTGAACCGAGAGCACTTCTCGATGAACGAGGGTTTCTCGGGCAAACGCGTCAAGTTCACGTACGAGGCGCCTGCCCAGGGCAACCGGAACTACATCCCGGTGTCGGACCTCTACAACCGCAATTTCGCCGACACGAACGGAGAGTTCCAGCTGGAGCTGTCGATGGCGAACGTGCGTACCGTCTACATGACGGAGCTTAAGATGCCGACGAGCACGTTCCCGGCGGGTCAATCGAAGCCTAACAAATTGGAGACCGATTACTTCGCGTTCGGGGGTTTCGACTGGAACCTGGTCATCTATCCTCACGGGAACAAGGAACCGGAGGGCTACCGCGGCCACGACAGCGGCGTCAGCGTCTATCTGATGAGGTTGACCGGCTTCGATCACCGTTGCCGTGTCAGATACAGCGTGGCGTTGGGAGAAGGAGATCGTAGAATCGATTCCGGACAGATAGAGGACCTGTCCGACGCGGAAGGATGCGGATTCGGTTGGCATCCGAGGGTCAGGTGGTCCGAGATCGCGCACAAAGGAGTTGTCCGGGTGTCCCTGGAGATGGTGGAGGCTAGGACCATCTGCGAAATAGCTGTCCAGGCTCGTGG